CCGGAACACCGCCCCAAGTACTGGGGTTCGTATGAATTCTATTTAGGGACAGGCTAATGCGCGAACTTGATAATTATTATGTGTGTCCAGACGACAAAATAATGTAAGGCCGGAAACAGGTGTTTCAACCAGTACTTTGAGAGCATTTCTTATCTCCCTAGAACGCTACGTGATCCGCCATCCTGATCGTCCTTAATTTGTTCACTATTAATATCTGGTGAAGAATAGAATCTATGAAACTGCCCTTCGTGCAGTATTAAATATAAATGAGTTTTATTACGAAATAAAAATAAAAGTGTGGAAATAGTTTTAAAACAAAAACCACGTAAACAATCACAGTTAACATTTATGCACCAGAACTTATTCCACGAATTTTCAGACGTAGCCTACCGGAGCTCCAGTAACGAGGGAATTTTAACACGATTCCCCTTCAACAATCCCGAGGGATTCAGCGCCCGGAAGTAAAATTCGGTATTCTATTTGTAACTTTCAGAATGATTATGAAAACCCCTGCGAGAAAGAAAGAGAGACATGTCCTAAGGTTGCACTAATCATGAAGAGTTAGTCTCAGAAAGGAAACGAAATACATAAGTCAGTAATTGCAAAGCAGTAATTAGTGTAATAAATCAGCATATTTCATTTATACGATTAGCTAACATTTGAAGACCGGATCATCTGAGAATACATTTTTTATTTCTATTTATTTACAGTTTATTTAACGACACTGCACTGTCAGTAACTCAGACTTTATGGCATCGAACGATTATTGTTTTATTATTATTTAGTGTTCTGTCTGACGACAGGTCCATATGAACAGGATCCTTCCATCCTTTTCTCGGACTGGGACCTGTTCATATACGGTCTTGGCAGATGATCCAGAAGTGGTTTGCCATTGCCTTCTTCTGTGTGTGAATGGTGTAATTGTTGGGATGCCACGGAGGAAAACTCCGTGTTGCCTAGACCACGGCCTTGCCCAACACAAGTTATAAATTCGGGCATCGCCTGGAATCGAACCCGAGACCGTGATAGTGATCGTGGCCTAGATTAAGGTATTACCCCGGCATTTACCTGTAGAGATTGAGGAAAACCACGAAACTTCTTAGTGAGGATAACAAGTCTGTTGAAATTCTATTGGTTTCTGTTTTACGTGGACCCTCTAAAGGTATTTTTAAAACGGGAAATGAAAACAGGTAAAATATGTAATTCATGATAAATCTGCCTTTTTAAATAAATGCGTGTATTTTTATGTATTTTTTCTGCAACCCTGCCAGTTGGCAAGTGACTCTTCAATGAGGTACCTGGTCGGCGCAGTTATCGACCGAAATGCTCATGCCTCAAACTTCTCCTTCCACATTGTTTGTTTTAAAATACGTCGAGTGATGTGGGAAGGGGGAGGGGGCATTATAAACTTGAAATCAAAGTTTGGTGGCGATGCTTTCAACACGGAAACATTACCATGTCTGTATCGGGCTACCAAAATAGACACTACGGCTTGGACCAAAAGTCATGCAGCGTTCGTCCCGCGATATACTGCAGTCACAAAAAACGTGGCAAATATGTGTCACTGATACGTGTATATTTCTAATAATATGACTGAATGAAGTCTGCTGGGTTGTAGCTCCGTGTAGTCTGGTAGAAGTTTGAAGTAGAGAATAATTAAAAAAGAATATTATTCACGTAAACTTTATGCTTCAAAATGTTGTTAGCAGATACGAGACTCACAACAAGCGAAAAATAGTAAGAAAAATACAAACTTCCTCAATAGCAGATATTATGTAATATTGCAGAAGATATTGGAAAGAAGTTCAACGAATGAGCTTTAGCAAGATCAAAGTGAAAATTGTAAAAATATTAACTAAAATCGGAAAGATGGTAAGAAAGACGCCGAGGAATATGAAGAAATATGTAATAAATGTAAAAGGCAAGTAGGCCTAATACTAGAAAGGATTCTGACGGTGATGTTGATGATCTAAAAATCCTTAATCATAATTCCGGAAAGTCTGTTAAGAAAGGAAGATGAACTGTGATGAGTCTTCACCGTGGTTCCAGAAACGAAATTAGATTTTTCTGAGGAATAAAAATTGGAGTAGTGGCAATCATACGCACTGAATGGAGAGAACGCACTGTTACCAACCGCCACGAAATAAGAAGTAAGACCACTGAGTTATAAAGATTCAAATCACATGCGAAGGCTTCAGAATTTACCTCCCGTAATTCATTCGTCATATATGCATATATTTTAAATTACTAACCGTCTAAAAAATCTAGCCGGAATGTTTGTAATGAAGACAATAAAATTCTCTGTTAGGTACATGTAACGTTATGAACGTAAAAACGTATTTACTGTGCGGTTACTGGTTTTTTGGGGCAAACGGCGGTAATCATCCGTAACTGTTTGAGGCTGAGGTATGGAGGTGCCGAGGTAAACTTGTGCGCGTTTCTCAGCCATGAAGATTCATTGCTATTCACTTCAAAGAAGCTCTTAAGCACGCCTTTGATGAATTACTGATCCGGTTAACAGAAGCTGTGCCAGCAGCTGCCGTGCTTACAGTGATAATCGTAACTCATAAGCTTTCATGCAGACAAAGAGACTGAACAAATTTTCATAGTTCACTTAAAATAAGTTACTTAAATCAACAAAAAAATTGACCGACTAGAATTGTCTGTTTACCATGCAATATTCTTTATGTCTGTGTGTGTTATGAATGACTGACAAAGTTCTCAGTAATGAAGCTAAATGACAGCGTTCTTTTCTACAAGTGTTGCTACCATTAGCCAGCTCTTAGAATTAATTTTACAGAAAATAAAGTAATGAAACGAATAAAGGAATTTTTACTCCATGTTGGATAAAAGAATATTTATTTTTTACAGAAGGACAAAATTATGTGACTTGTCTTTTAGATTGTGAAGCCAGAGTAGTCTTTTATATGGTTACCGACGTTTCGGAGGAACGTGTCGCCTCAAATTTGATGAGTGTTGAAAATTAACTAGTAGAGAAATATTAAAATATTACATAAAACATGAAAAATGATGGTCTAATGTAAATCGAATATTTCGATAAAGAACATCATTTAATATTTTAAATGTTAATTATGTAATATTTTAATATTTAATAAGAATTTATTGTGATTAGACGGACAAGATTTAATATATACTTATTATATCACAATATGACGCAACTTTACCATCTTATAGTAGAGAAATATAAAAGTCTTGATTTGAGACTAGTCATATTTAAGATCAATGGGTTAATGTTTATTAATTTTTTTTTATGATTTGTGACTTTTTAACGAATAGTTTGTATTGGGTCATCAGATTCTTTGACAATGCCTCTTGTAACACAGGATTTTTTTATTACAGACTGCAGAAGAATACCGTTCAAGGCGCACTACTTAAATAGTTTCGCGCGGAACAGCTTCACGTTGACACAGAGAGTATTTGCTCGGTTGACTGGCAAGCAGTCTCGTCCCTCTTGCTTATACGGAATCATTCAGGGACGGCTTGTCTCATTGACGGTTTTCAGCAGACTCGATTCCACCCACTCTCGTCCCTTGATTTGCATGAGGCAGCACGGCCATTGGCAACAAAGCCCTGTCTCCTAGCAACTCTGATACGTATCAAAGGAACCAAGCAGCTGGGTAAATATATATCATGATACAGTACTGCCCACTATTGCTGAAACTACCTCGCATTAGTGCACGAATTAAATTAATGTCTGAGTACATGTTAGTATCTCGTCATCAGAAGACAGGCGGGCAAAATTATCTTAGGGTGGCTAACAAATCCTTTGAAAGGGTTACAAAGTTCAAATATTTGGAAACAACAATAACAGATCAAAATGATACTTGTGAGGAAGTTAGGAGGAGACTAAATTCCGGAAATGCTTGCTACTTCTCAGTCCAAAATATTTTGTCTTCCCGTCTGATTTCTAAGAACCTGAAAATTAAAGTATACAAAACAATAATCGTGCCTGTTGTTTTGTATGGGTGCGAAACATGGTCCCTCACTCAGAGGGAGGAACACAGATTGCAGGTGTTGGAGAATCGGGTGTTGAGGAGGATATTTGGGCCTAAGAGGGAAGACGATGGGGCGTGGAGAAAACTGCACAATGACGAGCTTAAAAATCTGTACTGCTCCCCCAGTATTGTGAGATAGGAGTTGAAGGAAACTGGATTTTGGTGGCCCAGGACAGGGTCCGGTGGAGGGCTTTGGTTAATTCGGTGATGAACCTTCGGGTTCGGTAAGCCATCTAGTTAGTTAGTTAGTAAGTGTTGTAACCACCCCTAGTTGTGACACGTACTCAGACAGTTTTTCTTACACGTTCCTCAGTATTTTAACTTTGCCGTTTGTGAAGGCAAGGGAATTTCTCACGTAGAAATCTCGCACCCAATCACTTCTGTCCGCATGTGTCCGTTATTGCTGCCGGAAACTAACGTTTTGATAAATTTTTAGTAAAAATTAATCCAAAATATCAGATAAAATGGAAATCGACACAGCCTTTGATTTCTAACGTGTGCAGACGGACGGACTGATTTCAACAGGCGCCTCGCATGGAAAGAACAAGATTATAACCAGTCATTAAATTGACAAAGGATACCGTTTCTATTCAATACCGCCTTCAGTTGCTAAGATTATATAGCGTCTTGTTATAGGATAATCGGAAAACAATTAAAATGAAAGGTGCGGTTATCACCTAATTTAAGATAAGCCTAATACCCCGGCATTTGTCTGGAGGGACTGAGGAATACCACACGAAATTTAGCATAACCTGTCTCTGGACTGAGATTTGAACCAGAAACATCCAAGATACGAAGCAGGAGCGTTCAAAAATATGTTAGGTACGTCTAATATAATTATATTAACATAATGAAACAACAATAAATGGCTTCATCGTTCACATTTGTCCTCTATTTGGAACTGTTATTGTGAAATGTAAAATTGAAAGACACGGGCTCATAGATAAGTAATCTTATAATTAAAGTATCTTAAGAAAGAGGAACTTGTGGAATTTGTCTTCTTATAGTTCATTTCCTGGAATTACGTGACATCGTTTTCCCACTTCGTACTCTGAGCTGTTTGAGTTTAATTATTGGAAAATATAAGTTACTGCGATGTAGCTGGTAGCTGTAGAAGGTAAGTTAGTTTCATCATTTGAATTCCGTGAACCTTCGTCCTCTCGAAAAGCACTGTCAGACTGCGTAACATCAGTGACTGAACGGAATCGATAAATGTTTGTTTCGAGACGAAATAAGTCAAAGGTAACGGGGAAAAATCATTCGAGTACACGAGATACATTCTCAGGCTCGGCAACCAACAGAAATGTGTAAACTTTTGTATGTACTTTTCTCTGGTAAATATGTTAGTCGTAAGAACCGGACAAGGGGGCTTGGGGACTCAGGCTCTGTCTTCCTGCCCGAAATGCTTCACTGTACCCGACCACGACGAGTCGCATTTTGTGGCAAACCTAGTTGACTGACTCCACGTGAAACATTCTTTCTTGAGAGAACTGTACTCGCGTAACTAGTCACGAGATCCATAAGCTTTTACTATTCCCGAAGTTAATTACAGCGATATTTCACGTCCTCACGGCGGTAAAGATGTAGATTTTGGTTTTATCGTTTATAACGCCGTGTGGATAGATACGTTTCGGAGGAACATATTGCCTCCATCTTCAGGGTTGAAAAGACCTGTTCACTTTTCATGTTTGCTACTATAGGGTACATACAATTATTTACAATGGCCTATGCACATGCAGTATTTGGGGCGTTTCAATAACTACTACATTACAAAATTTTATGCGCGGAGCTCGGCAATTAATGGCCGGTATTAGTGATCAATGCATATTTAATATTTTGATTCTGCACTACACATTTAAGCTTGGTTTAAATTTTAAGCAGCCCCTGCAGAATAATACTAACCTGTAATTAAATTACATTAGTAATAGGGAATAATAATATTCATCCGTATCAATACTTCCAATACTTCAATTGTTACGTAATCTATGTACGAATGTGATACGGCCCAGTGCATCAAAAAAGTAATAACAATAATAATATTTCCGAAAAATAATAACAGTGAGGCCTCACTAATTCTAATGTCATTAGTTAGGATCCACTATAATTTGGACAGCCTTCTTTACGCATGCATTTTATTTACGCAGAACGCAGATTTTTCTGAAACGAAAATTTAATATATAAATGTTTGTCGTATATGTGTCTTAACACTGTCTAAGTTGATACATTTTGCTGGACTATGAATAATGTTTCTTGTATTTAACAACTATGACTTGAAAATGTTTACATAAGTTACAGTATATTTGTATAAAAAAAGATTTTCAAAACAAACACTTCAAATTGCATATACAAAAACTAGCGTACCATTTAATTCGCTTAAAATCTCTCACCTATTCGACCACCACACCCATCAACTCGCCCTCATAGCAAATCAATCAATCAATCACAATTTCGTTCACTCGCTCAATCTACAAAACTCACTCATACACTGGAGGACGCACCATTTGGCAACTCAATTTGAAACCCCGATCTTTACTGTTTTATATCTCTCGTTGCTTAAAATGTTGCGAAGCAACAGAGTCTGTGTAAATGTTAAAGAATGGTATTTCGGAACTGTAATCTTCGCAACGCTGCGTTGTGCTCTTAAGTATGTTCAGTGCTTTCTATCTTTACGTTTGTCAAGTGGCGCCGTGTAATGCCCATGTAATTAACTCTTCTGTGAACTCAGAAAGTTGCTCGACTAGACATTTATATGTCTGTTAATTAAGTTTCTTAATTATGGTTTTAATTAATGTTGCTCATTTCTTTCTCATACTTTATTTCAGGTTTGTCTTCTACGTCTGAACCACGTTGCCTGAAAGGGATGCCCAAACTATCTGTGCAAGGCAAGTGAAAAAACTCGATCTGACTCAATAGTTTAGGGATGCTGTGTAGCTGATGACAACCTAGCAGTTCAAGAATTTCCCTTCCCAAAACCTAAGGCTCCTCATCACATTAAAACAGCCGATTTTGACACTGTCCTGATGAGACCAGATCAGACTTGAGGTTCTCACAGCGGTGAGTATGAAGATATCCGTCTTCGAGATCAGATCAGTCCACATCCTTTCACCCAATATCTCTTAGATTTCCTCCCATCTACACTTGTATGTTCGTCTCGCTTTAAGATTTCCCAACCAAACATTTTTGTTCAGGAAAAGAAGCATCATGTTTTCAGATGTTCAACAAAGTAAGAGCAAATATGATTTCAAGTTGCTTGATGTAGTCGATATTTTTAACAAATGTACAGAAACTTAGAGTCTTGATGGATGCTCTCCACTTGCCAACTGAGGAGGCAACGTTTGTTCAGATACGGCGTTGTCAACTAGGAAAGCAATGAAGGTTATTGACGTTTCGCAATAATGTCACATGACATCGAAACAGGTCCTGGTGAATAAATGCGGGATCTGTATAGTAGGCTACTTCTGCTACTATAGGCGTTTTTTGACGTAAATACGTATATATTTTAGGGTCAGTGTCATTCGGCAAAAATGTGTAACGAAAATGTGTTACGAAAAAGGGAAACGAAAAAGTGTAACTTCATTGTTATGTTACCTAGGAAACGTCATCTGTTTACCTATAAAACATTTCATTACCTTACCTTACCTTACCTTACATTACATTACATTCAGCTACCACAGACCCATCTTAAGCGTAACTAATTCAAGTTAAATAAGCAAAGTCTTAATTAAACTTTACACGATTGTAAAGCGGATATAAAGGAAATATTTAGAATAAAGCCAATATATAAACTTCCTTTCCGTATAGACGTATTTACGTCAAATTCTCCGGAATCGTGGTTCCACTGTCAACATTTTCTCAATATTTTGTTACAGAATCCACACGCAGAACAAAGGAGCATTTACGTAAATTTAATTAAGGCGTAAGAACGACATACAATTAATACTCATTCTTTATATGTTATATTCTGTTCGATAGGAGCATATCAAAAATGCTTTGTTGATGCACCCAACATCAGATTAAATTGCGTTGAGTTATATTTTCCAGCCTGCTGTCTACAAACCTCAGATTCAAATAAACGAAACTGCAGGCTAATATTACGACCTGAAAGTCATTGAGAACAGGGCGGTGATTAGAATATATGAATCTCAACGAGAAGTACAGAAGAAATGAGACAATTATGCGGTTATGAGCTTCATAATATTTTCTATTCAACAAATATTCATATTATTAGGGTAAGTGAATCAAACAAGGGTAATATTGGCGGAACCTTTAAATGGCCGGGTGATATGAGAAACGCATAAAAGTTGAAGACGTTACTTGGAGGCCTAGTCGTAGATGGGAGGATAATATTAAAATAAATCTTAAATAGACAAGTTGTGAGGTTGTTGACTGGGTTCGGATGTCTCAGGATGGACCACGACCAATCAATTTAGACACTTGCATCAGGTAATTTCCACTTCGTTCTAGCAAGTTTGTTCTTTCGACACTCTGAATACCTTCGGATGCGAAATGCCGTTACGAGTGACGTTAAAATCCTTTGATATTTTAAATAAATCTTTTGCCCTTTCCTGTCGTAATGAGGCTCAAACAATAGCGTGTATTATCTGATTTGGAAAGTTCATTTGTTGTGTCTGGTGGCCCGTTTGCATTTTTCCCTCGCCTTTCATCCATTCAATGTATTTCAGATAAATGCTACCTTTACGTTTAATTAATAGCGGCACTGAAACATTTCTTTTGTGGTCTACATTCACTATTGTTAATTAAATAAAAACACTCTTGTTTTACGACATGTCTCCACGCTAAAATACACGGGCTAGTGGATAATTAATGACAACAAATTTTTCAAGATTTAGCAAAAAAACAGCACGTAATATGAGGTGTATTGCTACGTCACTGGCAGTTGATAATCACGTAGTTTTTTGGTTTGATGGCCGAACAGTTTTTGTTTCTATGATAATCTAATGTGAATACAGGACTTTGATCCCAATCAAATTCGCATTTAAATTTATGCAGTGGACAGACCTTAAAAATTTCAAACTGCTCTACACGGCAAACCATTTGGTGGATATTCTTGTAAACCGACGCTCAGCGTCGCTATGCCATTTGTCTCGAAACACCAAACGACGTCATATCCGAATAACCTATAGTCGAAAAGCCGTCTTTTTGTAGCGACCACGTTGTTACAGGCCATGTTTAGCGCAGGGGATTTTCCGTATGACCCCGAGTAATGAGGTATGAATTCAGCGTAACCTGAGAAAAAAATAAAGGTCTTCTGTTGCAGTTCTGTTGGGTGCCAGATCAACGTTTCATGGTCCGATAATGCTAGACACAACTGAATTTGTTCCTCCCAACTGTTGGGTGCAGTGCCATCATTTGAACTGATGGTTGTTGTCAGTTTCAACGCTGACGTGTATATCTATGTCAGTTCCGTGGATTTCGAACAACGGTGGCGTTTTATCGCGAAATGCAGACATGGAGTATATGTAGGAGGGGTCAGATAGCGTATTATTCCTACGTGCGTCACAGAATCATTTTGTTCGATTAAACAAGCAGAAAACAAATTTGAATATTTGGTACTTCTGTAAATTACGGTCCTATGACGTAATCTTTGAAAATAACATTATAATATTGCATAAATATATACTCCGTGAATTGGATGGTTTTTCGATAAACTAATGATGCTCATATAATAGAAAAAATTACTCTTTTTTTATGGAAATCGGCAGCTAATTACCGTGCTGACATTAATTCGCCAGTGATATTGTATTTGAGTAGCTAAATTCAGTCCAAACCCCCACAATGTATTCATTTATCTAATTGTTAACATCCAAATCTACGCAAAAACCTTGCACTGATCTATTCTTCAGGTTTAGGAAGTAAAATCTTGTGTGCATTTTTTATTTCGCCAATGCTTTTCTATTTTCCCACCCATCGATTATCCTTAATTTGATCAATCACATATCATATCAAGGAACTTTGTTATCTTGTTGGTCATTCGTTTGTTTAACGATTCTGTATCAGGTCTTACATGTCGAATGCGTCATGGTTGCGAGAACTGGATTTCGATCAGGGAAGTGAATACGTTAAGTGGACAGTGCGACCCCTTCTCATGTTTCAGATGGAGGAAGCCCTATTAAGGGTTGCATCCACTTACGTCCACTTTTGGCATACGTGGAATGCTGCATTTGAATATAACCATTCTACGAACGTTTGTTGCATTGTCTTAGACTATACTGTGATATGAAAGGCAGTTGGGGACAGCCAACAAGGGGTGGTCCTCCAGGCTAGGGGTCATGCTTAAGGTGAAGAACCCCTAAGTATGAGAAATATAACATTACGAGATGATAAACAGGGCATGGGGTTTGGACGGATTCTTCAGCACGTCTGGTAGGATGGGCGGAGTACGTAGCACGATTTGGGTGATGAGAAACTTTAATCTGAAGGCTTATAAGAAAAGGGCACTTTGGGGACTTTGCTGTAGATACAACGATTTGTATTAAAATCTACTTTAAAGAGATAGGGATTGAAGAACCATTATTTTATTAAGAAATATTTTATATGTTGAGTATAAAGCTGTTAGTTGCAATGTAGAATGTTGTAATTGTACGCTGTTTGACCGCGCATTTTTTGTAAATGAATTTTTTCGAATAATTTTGTCGTTTTACCTTTCATCTTACCACTCCACTTCTTTCGTGGTTATATTGAAATTGATTGTAATGCACATTTTGATATAACGTAAACCAAATTCCAGAGCTTGCGACAGACGTAGAAACATGTTCACTGACAGTAAAATGTTTGCTCTCGGTCCATATCTATTCATATGCCATTTACCTACAGTATATTGATTGGCTGATTGTGTCATATGTTACTACAATCAGCGGGACTTGAACCTGTGTTCTGTTGAGCGAAAGCGGGAATAATGAGTGAAACACAGCTGATAACAGTTCCATTCTTTTTTGTGTTCTGTGCTTTATTCAGAGAGACGTGTCACCTGTGTTATTGATTTTGCAGGCTATAAACTTATTTAAGGACATTCTTACAAACGAATACTGTGTTTTGTATTAGTCGTATTGACAAAAGCGGTGAAGGAGTATAAGTTAATTGAATAAAAATTTTCTTGGATATTATCCATCGTCTAGTAAATATAAAACGTAAAACGACGTTTCGGAGATGGGACTCTATCTCCGTCTTCAGGTTCCTACACAGTTGGGCCCACTAGATAGAGCTAATCCCTATCTCCGGACCTTCACCATCGTCAAGAAGTTTTAGATTTGAGTATAAGTTAATTTAAGCTTTCAAAGACGAAGTTTGTCTAAGTGTTATTTAAGAATTCAACCCGTACCTCAAAGAAAACACAACTCTTCATCAATAGAAAGATCTATTGGTTAATGCTGTTTAAAGAAATAATAGATATTTACAGTAAGAATTACATGAAATCCATGAATACAGAACTAAAGTTTATTGTTTGTTAAAGCAGGCGTGATATACATTTACTAATGGGATTAAAAGGTTTAATGAGGCTGTAATAATGCTATAGGTTATATAATATTGAAACTTATGGGAGAATATTGTATTACTGTAGTCTGGGTTCTAGTGTAATCAAGTGATTGACTCGCCCAGAATAAAGAAGTGTCACTTACTAATCTCCGGAAGTGATTCCCGGAGCTGCATGCGGTGGAACAGTGCATCGATCATTACTCCAATTAAAGCACTAATTCCTTCTATGTCATTACATCCCATTGATGTGAAAGGGCTCGCACGTATTTGTATTATTACAGTTTGTTAATTAGATGTTTGTTCTGAAAAGTGAACTCATTGTAGATTCGATTAACGTCTGACCTAACCTAGAAACACATTTTCTCAAATTATAGAATAAAATTATATT